GTGTCAGCATCAGCTTCAGCAGCATCAGCATCAATATAGTTATGTTTAGTAGCTTCTCATCGTTATGTTTGCTGATGACGCAGCGTTGTAATGGTATTCCGAGACCGTAGATCCCACCTTTTAGCCCTAACTCCCAAATCCGGAACTTCCAGACCCCTAAATCCTACCAGTGCATCCCAGATCCGAAGCCCTGAATCCTAATCCTGAAACGGGACCCTGGGAAGATCTATTATCTAGGGTGTCTAGGCGTGGAGGGGACACAGCAGGTGGCAGGGGACATGGGGTCTTGTAGATGCACCTGTTGGGTCTGGGGTGTTTATATTTGACACGGAGGAGGTCGGTGTAGCCTCGGCAGATGTGTGGCACTTTGTTCTTTTTGTGGGATGCTTCTTGCCCGACCCAGGCCGAGGCAGCGTGCGCGCTACAAGTAGCATCAATAAATATTAGTAGCAGCGATTATGCAAAAAGTATTATCTAGGTGCGCCTTAAAGAGTTTGAGCTAGCTGTTCGGGTTGTAGAAACGGAAGTGGAGGCTTGTTGTGTTTAGCCTGGTGTGGGCCTCCAGGATTTCAAGATTTCTGGGGGGTGGAGAGTTTAAGGTCTTGGGCTTGCTGAAGGCTTTCGGTCCGTGGAGTTTGGTTGGGCGGAGGTCGGCACATTGTCCGAGTCCATGACACAGGTGACAAGGGCGTGACAATGTGATGAACAATAATTTAATGATTGTAATAATGATTTTAGTTTGCATTTCATGGATTGGGCGTTTGCAATGCCAAGGTTTTGTTAGTAGTTTCATTGATCGCTTCCCGTGTTACTGAGCCTAAGTGGGCCAGATCGGAACACTCGGAAATTGACCGGATGTCAGCTGCCAGTAGGACGAGATAGCTGATAGCACTCATCCATAGCCGAGATAGACCCCATCCTGATAAAACACGCGTGCAGCGTACAGATACAAGAATTAACGGCAATGCCAGCGGGAGAAGATTTGGGTGACTGCCAGCTCTGCAAACATTATTATGTGGCAGCAGTCGGTATTGGCTTCTTTCTGAAAGATCACAGCAGAACGGTTAAAAGGCGAACCGAGATTCCAACGGGAAAGCAGAATGGACTTCAACAAACTTCGATGATGTATACGTGTTCGACCACGCAGGAAAGTGGAAGGGACCAACGCCATCATCCTGACAATGGCTGGACTTATAAAGGCTTTAATGTGACGAGCCCCCCTGTTTTTGTGCTTCGGGGTGCAATGAGTCTTGAAGTGCTGAAAGACCTTGAACGGCGATGGGCTTGACTCATCATCATCTATCCGAATCTAGCCCGCTCTCTCCCAATTCTGCATCATCCGTGCATTAGCTGGGCCCCCAGCCACACTCCGCAGCGCAGTGCTAGCAGCCACGCGACTCATCGTCGGGGTCTGCAAAAGCAAGCCGCCACAAGGCTGGCCCCCACCGCTTTGTAGGAAGATTTTGAGACTTGAAGGGCATTTCGGGCTTCTGGCACCAAGAATTTGAAAGCCATCTGAAGCTACAGTGTCTGCCGTAAAATCCTATCTTCATAGCGTGACATGAACCGCACATTAGAAGTGCTGCAGGCGCTTTCCACTAAAGCAGTCAGACCTTCCCATCACATGGACAGCCACAAGGACAACACTACACCATGGGCATCAAGAGTGGCATGCAACTACAACCCAGAGAATAATTCGGCTGCTGAGCTCTACCAGGCGTCCTGCGGCAGCTCCTCCGTTGTCAGAAGCAGCGGCATGTCCACTTTTCACGGTCCGTCGCCTATGTTGTATTGTGGCGCACGGGTGCTCAAGAAGGCCAGGATTTGAGAAATAGCGGCATTGTCATGCCTTTGAGAGCAGCACATTTGGAGAAAAAGTGCAGGCTTTCGCAAAACATGTGCGCTTTCTTTCTTTCTTTCGTTTGGGCTATGGGGAGACCAGAGGTCCCCCGGGCGTCTTTGCCCAGCCCTGGTTGGGCTAGGCGGTTGGTGAGAAAGCCAGCCCTCGTTGCTCATACCCAGGTCAAGCAAGTACAAAGCACATGAGGGTTGATGGGGAAGTTGGGGAAGTTGAAACCTGTTGCGGATGTATGAGCTCTGTCTCTCTCGCTTTCTCGCTCTCCTTTCTTTCTTTCGGGCAGTAGGGCACCCCTGGGACTCTCCCCCAGGCACACATTGGGCTTTGCCCAGGCTGGACTAAACACAAAGACTCAACCTCCATCACCAGAACTTGCCGACATCTGAAGGTGGCCCGTACGGATATTCAGTGACGGGGGTGCGGGTTACCCCCTGTACCTGTGGTCTGTAGTTTAGTCCAGGGGTATCCCGTGCTCCACGGGTACATGAGGTTGCTTTAGAGTTGGTCCACCTTCTTAGTAGGGCAGTGTTGCTTGTTCTACCCCGTCAACGTTGCCTGGCATCTGAAAGGTGCCCGCTCAAACTACGCCGCGTTTCCGCCCTGTCTCTCTCGCTCTATCTCCCTTCCTCTCCCTCTCCGTCTCCCTCCATAGGTTGAACAATGGAGAGGCATTCCATTAGGTGGGGAGTGTACCCAGACCTCAGTGGCAGCCGCTCTCACTTGCAAAGGGTGCCCGCTGGCCTGCGTGATCGTTGCATGGCAGCGCCATTGAAGGCAGCAATGAAAATGACTAGCGCATTAGATAACGCAATTCCAGGACTCACGAATGCGCGAGTGCATTGCAAGTGCGAACAGAACACGATCGATGCAAAGTCATGAAAGCTTGGGCTGCAAAGCCTTCAAGCATTGAAGTGTCGTGTCAGGTGTGTAGGTGCGTTGCCATCTTCGCACTGAAGCGCAGCCATGGGTCCTTGTCTCACCTCCCCTCTCTATCAGGCAATGCCCGTGCGGCAAGCCTTTCACAAAATGAAGACCTGGGCTTGCTGTACCCAATACTTCAGGCTGGGCGACTGAGGTTGTACATCAAGCTACAAACCCTTGCTTTAAACTGCAGTGCTGCATGCTCTACTGGACCGTAGTCACGTGTAAATCGGCGGCTGGAAGCCCAAGAGCGCAGTAACAGCAACGGGAACACGAGTAGCTTTGTTAAATGCTGCTCTCCTACGCACAAATGCTGCTTGCTTGCAATGATGAGAGCATGAAGTGGCAAGACTTTGGCACAGTTGGCACTGTAGGCAACCGTCTGTGGCTTCAAAGCACACTATCTGCAAGTGAAGAGATGGTGCGTCAACTAACCCATTGAGGATGAAGACAGCGATTCAGACGTCAGCGAAGAAAGTCTGAACCCTGGCACAAACAACAACGCGAAGAGGGATAGCAACCACAAGCACGAAACTCATGTGGACGGTGAAAGACACGAAGTCAGCGCTCGGATGTTGGAACGCATTATTTGGACAGGAAAGTTAAATACAAGACAAGCCAAAATTCGTTGGTCATTGCACAATGGTTTTCGGAAGGGATGACATTCAGCATTCGTATCAGCTGCTTTCGTTGCTTGAAGCTTTCGGCACAAGGTTCAAGGCGGAGATCCAAAGTCCCAATACTACTTGGGCTGACACGCCCTGATGCATGCCGTGGCCTTTCCGTAATGTGCAACTCTGCGTCTCAATCCTACAGTAAGAAGCCTCGCTATCTGGGCTTGCGTGCCTCCATGGCATCGCCTAATGAGAGGATGGGTTAAACCAAATCACGAGCCAGTTATCTGTTGCCTCCCTGCTATCGCATGACGCGAAGGGCAGTCTTATGTGAGTATATCACCATCTATCAAGAGCCCGGCCTCCCAAACAGAAACCTAGCTGGCATTCGCCATAGCTGCCATAGCCCCTTTTTTGTGCGCGACAAACTTGCTCCTCTTTTGCTTCCATAGACTGCGGCATTATCAGATCGGGCAAGCCACCAAATGTTCTGCGCGGATAATGCTCCACATCGTGCTGTTAGGAAACAAGCTATGTTTTTCCTGTAGGGGTTGTATATGACTGTATTGTGGTAGCCTCCTTGTCAACCCAGGAGCTCCTGATTTTTGCTTGCAAGCTCAGCCCAAGCATATGCTGAGCGCACAGGCGAAGTGAATGCCATCTCTGCATTTGCGCCACACACTCCCTCAAGAACTGTTGCAGACCCTGCCAATGTATGCGTCAAGGCTTGTCACATCTTGTCACTGCGTTGGGTGCCAGTGACATGCAAGGCCCGAATGCAGTCAAGCCTACATAGATTTTGCAAAGCCAGAAACCGAGCTCCCAAAGGTGCCTGGAGACCGTGAAGCCTACATGGGAGATGTCCGCAGGCAGGTCGCCCAAAGTGAACTTCTGGATTTCCTGGTCCTGCTCTCAAAACAAAAGATATTGTCCCAGGGACGGGTTGAGAAGCAGCTCAACAACGGCAGGCTGTTCCAGGACCAGCTGATTCTTCAGACTGTTACGGACATGTTTCCTATCTTGCGGATATTAACGTATCATTTTTGCAGTGCAGAACTTCACGCCCAAATCACTCAACGCTGCCAGACTTAAGTCTGTGATGCGCATTCTCGCCAGAACAGAAGGGACAGCAGAAAGCTGTTCCTTTCTTTTTTTCTTTCATTTAGGCAGTGTAGCAGGCCACTGGGTCCCCACTCCTGGGATTTTCCCCCATGCCCATGCTGTGCCTTGCCTGGAGGGGACCTTATGCGAAAGCAAGCCTCACGAGAGAACCCTTGACTTGTGCTGCCGCTCTCCTGCTGCATCTCCAATGCACAGCAGCCACTTCTCACTGGAGCCCCAAATGGCACCTTGTGGTTAGATCGGAAGCCATACCCATCAAAGCCAACAAAGCTTGACCATCAAGAGTAGCGTAATCCTACCTTGGTTCTACACTAAACGGTTGCAAATTTCTGTTACATGACGGTCCGAATGACCTCGTGGTGAAGCAGGGCAGTCTTCAAAAACGGTGATTGTGGATATGACCTTAATGCTGGGCTTTCAGGTTCAAGTCTCAGGGTTCCAGGCCCTCCCAGGCATCCCGGAAGCGGTCACCGCGGCAGAGAAGATCAGGCTGTTCCCGCAACCTGCAAGTTTTTGGGGGGCTGGGATGTAGGTACAAGCGCCTCGCGGCTAGAATAATGTGGTTCAGGAATGGAGCCTGTACAGAATTGACAGGGGAAGTGCCGTGAGAAGAAGTCGAATGCTGCCCAGAGGGGATACACGAATGCAGTGCGCGACACTTACCATGCAGGGAGAGGATTCTGCTAGAGTCTCAAAACAGACTAGACGGTTGCTGGTGCATCCATGACTCCAAGGCGAGGGATCGCATAATGAATGCTGGCTTACATCATCCATTCATCATACAGTATTCGTTCGCTCTGCAATTTCGCGTGTTGTATGAACGTGCAAATAACAGCCCCCTTGCTGAAGTAAAAAAAACTGACGTGCGTACCACCATGTTCAATCTGCTTCTAGGAACCCTGTGATCGGCATGGTGCAGAGCAGCGCCATGGTTCAGCTGCCCAGCTGAAAGGTGACAAGCGCGAGTGCATACAGCAAAAGAGTTTACCTCTGGTTTACTTAGAAGCTGTTCTATCGGTCAGCCAAAGATGCCTTGACAAAGCCCGCGAAAAGAGTCGAAGTGCACTCTCCAAGTTCAGAAGCCCATGACAAACTCATGCTGCTGAATGTTGTACTCTCTGATGGCTACCATCCATTCTGAGTTGCTTGTACGTGGGTATGTACGTAAGTAAGCTCTACCACGCTGCTTCTTCTGCTCCTACTCGTACACAGCCTCTACCCCTCCTACGCCTTCCTTCTCCTAATTTTACCACTACTCCTACAACTGCTGCTGCCTACTTCTACTACTGCCAATCCTACCACCACGACCGCTGCTGTTGCTGCTAGTAGTGCTGCTCATACAACTTGTTGTGTGGTTCAACGACTGTTCTGACTCAGCCTTCTGTGCCAGCAATGCCAAATCTGCCGCGATCAAGGCGTCCTTGCAATGCAGGCGGGTGAGGCCCTCATCGAGATGATACCTGCGAAGAGGCTCAAGACCACGGGGCGCTGCAAAGCCTCTGTATTTCAAGAGTAGTGGGAGGACGAGGAGGCAGGAGAATGAACAGCAGCATGGGTGCGCAACGCCTTATACATGTGCTACATGCTTCTTATCACGGTGATGCTGCAGCTTAGAATTCCACATCAAATATAGCAATTCCGGCCGAGTCGGAAGCTGTGAGACCTTCCACAAGGCGGCATCAAGGACTGCTTCTAGCCAGATTGCACTTTTCCCAGCCATCACCGAAGCTCTGAAGAGATCGGAAACACAGGCCAACATGAAGGGTCTCTCGTGTATCTGCAGGTTTCAGTTTCGGGCGATCAAATGTGCCACATGATGGCGCGCTGGTATTCGTTTCAAGGGCGCATGAGGGAGGGCTGAAGATGAGTAAGATAAACTGAAGGTTCTCTCTTCTGAGAGCGTGACTTCACCTGGTCACAGAGGGCACTTCTCCCAGAATTCGACGATGCCATCCTTGAGTTCTTGGATTCGCCTTGGAGCTGACTTGCTACATGTGATCGGACAAGCTTGGGGAAGCAAGACCGCAGTCGAAAGACTGCAGTGCACTGATATGGACCTGCATCAGGTATCTAATGTGGAGATGGAGCCGGAGATGAAGGTCATGGCATGTCATGGCTGCCATCATGTCTATAGGGTAGATGGCCACATATGCCCACCGAATGTTCATTGTCATCTTGCGGCTACAGAAACATCATGACCCTTCCAATCGCCTTGTCTCCAACGATGATGTCTTCGAAGCCTGACTGCAGCAGAACTTATACTGTGCAGCCGCAAGGGTACAATTCCGCCGCTGCAGCCTGTTGTTCCTGACAGTATGGGACCGTGCAATTGGAAAACAAAAGCTGACTTACCCCAGAGAAAGAAAAGGTTCAGCTCCGCATCTTTGCGTTAAAGGCTGCATGAAGGGCAAGGCTTCTGCTCCAAGGTCTCCTGAAGCCACTCCAACTCATTTCGGGGTTAGCCAAATTTGACCACAGAGCCATGTTGTCAACATGCCACGCATCAGCAACTTGCAGAATCTCACCGATGGTCGCTGGGCATGCCAACCACATTCGCCAAGTAGGTCGCATCAACGGCAATTGGGATGGCGCACTGGCTACTGATCCTGAATCCTTCAACTGTGATCTTTGCTTCAATGAGGGAATTCGATTTCTGCTGCTGTCATTCCTGTACTAGAACCAATTCAAACGCCTTGAGACAAGCGTCTATGCTCAGACCCTGAACCTCATCAGACGAAGATGGCCTCGCACAAGGCCCTCAGCACCTGTCCCTTGTCCAAGGCACCGCGGCGCTCCTTCGGGCTTAGGCTTTAAGGCATTCGCCCTGAGAAGCAAGACTGACCTGGTTTGTTCCTAGGCTACGCCTAAGGACATCACCGCCGTGATCAGAATGGCAATGGCAAGTGAGGAATTCATGCTTCACGGAAGAGGGAGGATGCTACAGCTATTTTAACTTGGACATCAAGCGGATCGTGTGAGCCTCGCAGCCTACCGAAACCTGTTCATGGTTATCAGGATGAATGGGGCATCTATTCCTTTTGGTGCTCCACATAAATTCATGCAGGCGACAAGTCCCCAAAACCTACTCCCAACTACGCCCAATAATTCAACCCTAATTCATCTTTAGCCCTAAATAGAGCGGTAGTTTCAACTTTCTTTGCACGCAGCAAGAAGTGGCGCTCTGAGGCAGCGACGACATCCCAGTGCTTAAACCAACTCTCGAGGTTTTCCCCAGGAAGCCTGGCGTCTAACAGGCTTAGAAATTTAGGATTTAGGGCTTAGGATCTGGGAGTTAGGGTCTTTAGGGCTATAGTTGAGGTGATGAGGATTTAGGTTTGAAGTGGAAGGGCGCTGCGGCAGTGATGGTTAGGTGTCAGAGATCATGCGTGCATCGTTCTCTGCAAAATGCAGCTACGGCCTGACTGTGGAAGGCCATCTCACTACCCACCACGCGCCGTCTCAGGTGGCCAAGCCAAACCTATTCCTTTCCGAGTTTAACACCTAAACTCAATTATTAGGTCCACCTTGGTCAACAACATGTCTTTATTCTTTTTGCTGTTCTTGTTGAAGTTAAATGGATCCTGAAGGCTTCATGCCCATCATGGGTGCTACTGTAAAGTACCCGTGGCTGCGCTGAGGCAAGACCACTTTGGTCGACCTGATCGTAGGTGGGCAGCCAACGCCTTGAGCTTACAAAACCTTCGACTCATTGCCCCCATTCGCGACTAGGCACTGGCACTTCTACTATCCAAGTTACTATTGCCATGGACATTGTCCGGCTCCCAAAGTCAAGGCTTCAACATGACGTCAAAAAACTCTTACAGGTTCGCCCTAGCTAGGACCTCGGACCACGTCACATTTTGGGGGCTGTCAAAAACATCTTTGCCCTGCTGGGAAGAAACTCAGGCAATTGGAGGACAATTCCGCCTTCAGACTCAAATAGAGACGTACTCCGGGGTTGGGAGCGCCTTGCACCTCAATTATGACAATTACTTACACTTTACAGCACTGGTTGCCTACATGCCTGGGCTTGGGAACCTAAATGACGCTTTCGGTTCCTCTCCCACGGCTTCTAGACATTCCTCCACATTTCTGGAATCTTTTGCCATGGGATACTCAAAAAAAGAATAAATGCTTGATTCTTTCCTGAAGTCTGCACCCCTATACCGAGAGAATCCCTGAGTCCCAAACCCAACCCAGGAGTTCTGGGCTCGTTGAAGGCGTGCCCGGGATACGGAGGCGCCGCGCCCCGCTTGGCTGCGTACGCCAGGTCGTGCTGGTGGGCCCGAATCCTGGGAGTAGAAACTTAATGGTTGAAAAAAGTGACAAGAAAGAACAGCGTGGACGGAAAGAAGGACACAAGAGGGCTTGAGATTGCGGGAATTAGAATTTGGGTTGGGGTGGGAGGGTTTAAAGTTTGGTGGTCGCGAGCTTAGAATTACAGGCTTAGCGGAAAGGACACAACACAGGGTTACTGCAGGAGAGTCTTGCTGGCGTCAGGTTCGCTGTAAAGAAGAAGGCTTTAGGGTCTTGTCACGAGGGATAGCGGATTGGTGTTCACAGACATGATTATAGAAATACGGGAAAAAGCTCAAACCCTTGCGGGAGGAGAGTTCGCGGTCTAGGGAGAAACCATGGCAAGAACAGTAATGACCGCCCTGATGTAGGACACACTTGCCATAACAGGCCGTGTCCATGATTGGGAGATGTTGTTCCAGTTCCTTTGCGAAGAATCACAAATCTTGGAGCAGTCGGGCGCCACACCACTCCAGGAGCCCGCCTTTGGCGAAGAAATCCTGCTCGGACACGTGGCCCTGGCTCGAAAGATCGTTGCTGCCGTTGCGTTCTCGACGCTTTGTTAATGTTGGCGATGCAAGTTCAGGTAAGCACATTGACAATCTCGAAGGGCATGCGGTCTCGACAAGCAAGAGTTTTTTTGTTACAAGCCAAGTGCTCTGCTGCATCAGCAATGTGAGCCCAGGAGCAGCTACATGGGTGCGGGAGAGGCATGTTCTGCTGCATTTGGACATGGGTTCCAGATCTGATGCCCAAAGCTGTAGCCTGGAATAACCCGTTCCCTGCAAGAATCGGTCAGAGTCAGAGCTTTGTGAATCCTAACTGCTCAAAGACTAGAGCAACCCGAGACTGTCAACAGGCTGAAGCATCCCACAATCGAAGCCACTGTACTAGCGTTTACTTGTTTTTGCACTGCTCAAGCTTTTGGAGCTAAGACACTCCTACCATGACTGAGACACCCCTACCATGTACACGTTATTCCCCTTGTTCCCACTCCTTGTCAGCCATCGGCAAAACCCTAGAGTCAGCCCTTCCAGTGTTCATTGTTCTTATCGCTTT